TTTGTAAAGCAGCAATTCATCTAGCTTCAAGTTTACAGGACAAGATAAATGTCTGATGTCTAGGTAGATGAGGACTCCTTGCTTGAAAATGACTTGCTGATCCTTTGGACAAATCCCTTTCTCCATGGTTTGGTTCCTCCACCTGTAAAGCAAGGAGAGTGTTTATAGGAGCTGTAATTACATTACCATTTGCAAAGCACTTCTCAACTACTCAGAGATGCTGCAGAATTGAGAAGTGGAAGCAGTAGCTGTAAGAGTGCTTTGTTTCCAGTAACATAAAGCTGATAACTAAGCATTTGCTTTGGGGTAGATGGTAATTTCTCCTCAATGAGATGAAATCCTCTTCCAGTTTTCCTTGCTGAAAACTTTACTGGCAAATGAGACTGGCACACAGTGACACTTCACGCCTTGCTGTTTCTTGTTTCCTCTTTTCTCACTCTGCGCTGGTTTGGTACTCTGGGCTGGGAAGGGAAAAGCATCCATCTATAATGGGATAATTTGGGATTTTTTACTAATTAAGGAGCTGTGACTATAAGACTCTTCCCCCTCATTCAGGGGCCCATCATCGCTGCTCCTGTTCCCTTGGGCCCAGCCTGTCCTTGGGAATTTGCCTCCTGCTGGAGGATGCCTTCAAGCTGTCTCCAGAGGTCTAATGTATGTCAGAGAACTTCCTTCTCCCTCCTTCTCTTTCAATCGTATCCACACATAGGGATTTTAGATAAAATGCTTCACCAAGAAGGTAGCATCCAGCAGGACTTTAGAGAAGGTACGAGGTGCCTGTCCAGCATGGGACAATAGGAAGAATCAGAATAAGTGCAGTGCTGTGGCTGGGCATCAGAGATTAAATACATACAAGAAGTTTCTATCTCGACTGCTGTTGGGTGGTGTTTTTTTCTGAAATCTCCCGATGCGGTAAATCTGATATCCTCCCCAAGCACAAAGTCCTCGGTAATGGCAGGAAAACACAAGACATTTTCCCTTCAGACAGTCTCTTGAAGTTCTCAGATCTCAGGAGAGCATCTACCCGCATTTGAAACAGCCTTCCAGCAAAGCCAGATGTTCTAAGAACATCTGTTTTATGCGAAGAAGCTTTTTCACATGTGAGCTCTCATCTATACTACTGCATATGTGCAGACCTTCTCTATGCATGTGTTTCTTGCTCTTTTTGTTTGTTTAAATCCCTGACACAGAATGAATCCTCCATTAAATATCCATAGGATCAATGCTGAAAAACTCATCACACAAACTCTGTTCAGGATTTACCTGGCTTCTGTGTGAAAGGGAGCAGCTCTGATAAGGCGATAAGGCAAGTACAGGAAATAGAATGAAAAAGGGACCTCTTGGCTTATCAGGTTCAATCCCTTTGAATAACAGGCAAGTACAAAACAAATGGCCTTTTTTAAACTTACTAAGCTCTGTCCTAAATCTCATTAGCTTTCCGCTCTCACTTGTGCTGCTAGAATACTGTTCCAGCACCTCCTTCACTGCTCTGTTGCTTAGAAACCTTCTGATTTCCAACCTAAATTCATTCATGGCCAATTTATATCTATTTATTCTTGTGCCACATTGTCCTTTAGCTTATGTAGCTTTCCTCTCTCCCTAGCACTTACTTTCCCAACCCCCAATTCCTAAAAATATTTATAGGCAGCAAACCTCTCCTCCCTTAACCTTTGTTCTGCCGGACTAAGTAACTAAGCTCCCTTACAGTATTCACCCTGCAGGCACATCACGCCATGTTTTAATTACTTTGGGTAGCTGCACTAGCATGAAGTTCAGTGCAAAATAATTAACGCAGAAGAGCTCAAATTGGTACCGCATCTATTTTCAAATCAGCTCTAATGTCTCCCTGGGGTCAATTCTGCGACTGATAAGTAAATAGACTCTTGGCCGAGGGACACCCGCCGCCCCTCTGATCGCCCCGTTGCCTTTCTTTGCACCTGTTCCAGGCTGAATGTCTTTCTTGAATGTGGGTGAGCAGCACCGCACGCGCTATCCTGGTGGGGTTCTCACATCCTCTTGGATGGCATTAATCTCACTTGCTGCAACTGGAAATACTGCTACATCCCGAAAGCTCACTTGCCTTTTTCACCCCCACATAGCATCGCTGGTTCCTCCTCCTTTGGTGACCTTCACCCAGGACTTCTCCCATCTCGGTCCTGCCAACTAGGAACTCTCAATTGCTAAGAGAGATTCCCGTTACTCTCCGAGCAACAAGTTCCTAGCGTGTGACTTTGCACTCTCCTGTTTTTAACCTCACCTCCATCACTCCAGTCGCAAAGAGCCTTCAGCTCTCCTGACGCTGTCCTGATGATACCTCCCAGCTTTGTTCCATCAGCAGATTTCATTAGCAGTTCTACTTTCAGTGCCAAGGTAATTAACACTAATATTAAAAAAGGTCAGTCCTAAGAGCAATCTTTGAGCATCCTCACAGGTAACTTCCCTTCAACCTATTAGGGAACTGGTGTCTCAGTTCTGTCAGTCTCTTGCCCGCTTGAGGATTTCTCTAATAATCCCCGTCTTCTTCAGCTGAATCTTCTCCACTAATTTGCTTCTTTTGGGACACCATATCATATGCCTTACAGAAGTCCAGGTAGGTAAGGTCTGCTGTGTTTCTTTTACCTAGAGGGTCAGGAATCTTACCCCAAGGAAGCTATTCACCTTTGGTCAAAGGATGGTACATGTTGTCCTATCTCTCTCTTAACTCCTGGCTTTATTTCTCCTTTCCTTCAAAACCCATTCCACAGCATCATAAACTGCTGAGATCTGCAAGCAGCACATGGCAAGCTGTCAGCTGTTCTCCTCATTCCCAGTGTCCGGGGGAGCATTCTCTTCCACTTGCTCTCCTCGCTCCAGTCATACAAGTTTTGCATAGTGGTCTCTTGGGGAGGGAGGGAAAACTCCTTCTTCCCAGTTTACCAGTGGGCAAACCCGCTATTTCTTTAGCTGTGGAGCTGGAGAAGCTGCTGTGGCACCTCTGTTTTCCCTTGAAGAGGGTGAGAAAGGGATGACACATCGAGGGGCTGGCTGAGGTAGCCGTACAACACCTCTACTCGCCTTTCTGTCTTTTGCGTCTCTATCTGCCTTCACCCATTTCCTTTCCGTGCATCAAAATTCAAACAGTTACCACCACCAAAAAAGACTGCTCATAACAGTTACCTCATGTACCGGGCAGAAACCTTCTCCCCTCCCTCATTCATTCAACAGAACTGAACTGTATCTGCTGGACTCGGAGATTTAACTCTGTAGGAGAAGGCGTATGCCACTCAGGAACGACACTGGGGTGGAAAACACGTGGGAGCAAGCAGGGAGAATCAGACCCGATCCCCCTGAGCGTACAGCAAAGTGCCAGCCACACCGGAGGGGGGGGGTGTTTACATTTCAGACAGCTCGCTCACAGGACCTGCCTCTCTGTAGCACGTGAGAAACACTTGACAAGCCTTAGTTAGCCCGTCCCAAAGCCATCTGTGAGCTGGATCTGTATTGTTAACACCTTTTTTTTGGAGACTTCTATGATGAAGTCCTTGACAATTTCACTGGCATAAAATCAACAGGACTTCACATAATAATGCTTTATGGAAATTATGCCAGAAAGTGATACTCCCCTTCCCACAAAATTCCATCACGGGTATACAACTGCCAGGCAGGAGAAGGAGAAAAAACACCAGAAACGTTCCCATCTTCTTTGGAGTCACAGAAGGCCATCCATGAAAGTTAGAAATGTGGTCAGTGACTACGGGTTTCTCCATACTGGGAGTTTACTGAACTGCAATGGGAATTTGCTGTGCACTGCTATGTCCTGCACTAACCATCAGTGAGGATTCAGCCCTCTTGAGAAGAAGATACTAAATTAGTGGGAGAACAGTGATTAGAAAGAGGAGTTTCCAGCCCTGTGCTTTAGTCTCTGGTCTGCTTTTTCTTCACGATCTACACTAGCTGCTGCATAGGGACCACTTGGCCAATTACGTTCAGGATGGGAGATCTCTAGCCCAGGAAGGGTTGCTGGAGGGACACCCGCCAAAGCTTGTGGGCAGCAAGCCAGTTCTCAGGGTAGCGGAGTCTGCTGTGCAAACTTCACTCTCCCAACACGGGTTCTTTGAGACCAGCCTTTATCAAAGCCAGAAAACATCCCTGATTCACCCTCCTCTCTGGGTCCTGATGTGCAGGAACCAGAGGCTTGACTTGACACATACATGAAATACAAGACCTTCAGACACTTGATGTGCCAAAAGCATTTTTTAGAAAGGCCCGAATGCTCATGCAATCAGCCCTGTGTGTGCGCAGGGAAGGGGTGTGTGTGTCAAAAATCACCTCTCCTGACAGGCAGGTTATTCTCTATTTATCAGTAAGGGGGCCTGTAAAACCCTCCTGTAAAATCCTTTGGGACAAGGCTGCAGCTGTGCTGGGCCCCTGGTCCAAGCCAGGCAGAGCAAGCCCTGTGTTATTTGAAGAGGTGGAGGACCCTGCTCCGCATGGACTCTGCTTTGCCAGATTAAGCTTGAACAAGTCAGAAAAACATCCTTCTCTGACGTCTTGCATGGAAAAAGCTTCCCAGGGTCTGGCTGGTGTAACTGTGGGGCAACCCTGTCTCTTTTCATTTAAGGAAGGCTTAGACCATGGCATGTTATCTGGGGGAGGCGGTGCAAGGAGCAGCGGTAGCGTCAACTGGAAGGGACAGCACGAAGCTGGCAGTGAGTGCATCCTGTCGGCATGGGGAGGGTGGCACGGGGAGAGGCTGAGAATGGAGAGGGAGGAATGAGATCCATGGTCTTTAAAGGAAAAACAACGGGAAACTAGGTTTGAAAATAGAAAGATTAATCTGGAGGGGGTGGGAGAGACAAGAAAAGTAGGTGAAGAAAGAAGAGGGGGAAAGGCAGAGGGGAAGACAGAAAGTGACACAGAAAGGGGGTGGAGAAAAAGAGAGGAAGAGAGAGAGAACCATATTGAAGGAATAAAACACAAGCGACTCAGAAGAACAAGGAGTCCCAACTCAACTACAGAAAGGAAAAGTGGTAAAGCAAGGAAAGGAGGCAGAAGACAAGATAGATACTGGAAATCAGGTAAGTAACCATGAGGGGGAAATAACAGCACTGCAGAAGCATCGATGGCAGATCAAGCTGTTACACTCAAGGGGAAAACAGCATGAGGGGAGAGGAGGACTTGGTGAGGCAGGAAAGGGATGGCCAAAAATAACTTGAGAAATTTACTTTTTCTTTCAATTTCTCCCCCAAAAGTTCCCACTACTAACAAGATGGGCTTGGGACATTTCAAAAATTAAACTCTTCTTGCCACAGGCAGCTAGAGAAATGATGAGGAAGCCTCCCTGCAGTGAACATGGATACCAATAGATTTCAACAGGCAGGAAAGGAGGATAAGAGCCCCAAGTATCCTCAGACAGCATAACGTGCAAATTGCAGTTTCTGTCAGATCCCGTTTCAGCGTGATGTCAGGCTGCCCAGGGGAGGGTGGTGAAGGGAACTCTTACCTACGAGAGGCTCTCAGGGTATAAACACTTTATCAAGTGTCTGCGTGAACCACCTATATTCCGAAGCGCGCAGGATGGTTCCAAAATATTGCCATTTCGTTTCCTTGAGAGTATCGCGTCCTGGCTGGTCTGTGACATGGAGCCTGGGAACATAACTCAAATGTAGAGAAGCGCTGTGCTCGTATCTCCCAGCCACCCGTACTGTGCGCGCTGCGGGGGGGGATGCCTTTCTTCTCCATCCTAACACTGCCCAGGGCAGCCTCAGCAAAGAGCCATGCAGACCTAAAGGGACAAGCGCCCTCTCCCACTAGCAACCACTGCTTCTTTTTATTTGCCTTCCTAACTTTTCCCCCTTTTTCTACTTAGAATAATTATTCAATTGCATTTCCATAATTTAATACTTCGAGCGCTGCCACTGCATGCTTCAAAGAATAGCCCAGCTTGAAAGCACAGTACCCCTACACATCCACCTGGAAAGAAGCAATCACGATGAGTGTAGAGGCTGCCTACTAATTGCCACCTCTGATCTGTAGCGACTCCTTTGATTTCCTAAAGGGCCATTTTACTGGCCATTTGCATGTCTAATGAGCTTTGCGGAACTCTGATTTTAACAGCTCAAGTAAACTGAGGCAGTGCCTCTGTTCCTGAAGTACCATAAAAACCACCAGAGGATCATGTAAGTAGCATTTCTGGACAAACCTCAGCTAAAAAAGTCACTGGCTGAATGAGCCTTGATTGTTGAGCTCTTCCCCCATGCTAATAAACCTGTCAAAATACCTTGGTGAAGCAGTATGTGTGAGAGGTTTTCCCTACCGCTGCCTATGTGATTCTCTCTTTAAGGCTAAAGAACTTAACACATGTAAAATATATGTGCACATGCATGTGCAGCTAGGATCGGGTTAAACTGTTATTCAGAAGCCTCACAGTATTCAGTATATGCACCAGAAGTCAAAAAATTCTGCATTTGCTGGTCTTTTCAAAATCTACTCTGAGAAGAACATGGATTTCTAACTTTCTTCCCCCTTTCCTTGAGAGAAGAACAGTAGCTTAGGAGAATTCCTGAGGCTTCAAGTTTTAAAATACTAATCAGGCTCCCGTCGCTTGGGAACTATGTTAAGTATTCCTGCTACTATAAGTATTTGGGGTTGTTGGGTTTTTCCCACTCAATGGCATATATTGTCACAATATTTTAGTATTATGGGCTTTCACATGAAAAATTTAAACCTTGCCAGAAAAGACAGAACTTAATACCCTAGCTTCTCTTCTCTTTTTGACCTTCAGACAGATTTCACACATTGTACACATTTGCCCTTGTTTTCTGACTTATCTCGCAGCATTGAAAATAGACGAGAAGGAATGAGTAATTCAGCACTATACCATGTCATTAGGGAGCACATTTCAGAGACTGCTCCACACCTCGGGTGCTGTTGTATGAGGCACGAGGACAGAGGCTTAAAATTAGAAATAGCTCCCAAGAGGCACCAGAGAAACTTCAATCTTTGGGCTAAGAACTCACAAAGAGAGAAAAAAAAAATCAATTTTGTGGCTATTGATAAGCAACAGGGAGATCTCAATGAACAATATTCTAGCATGCCAGCTCTTTCCTGAACAAAGAAATATTCATGCCACACAGTAAGCACTGGGCATAGAGATGCATGCTTCCAAGTCTCTCTAGTGTATCTTTAAAGAGGGTTCAGGGGTTTTTAATGTAAGAACTAAGGGGTTTACACTTACATTTCTGTCTGTCTTCATTATCTTTGTCATTTCGGGCATGACTTGAGAATGGTTGAGAATTTCCATATGAAACTCCTCTCCCTGAGAAGCAGAAAAGCTGACAGATGCCTTGGTCAGGGCACAGGGTCACTCGGGAATTGAAGCAGTCCAGCGAGGGTGACCGCTGCAGAGCTCCAGGGTCTTCGGCTGCATTCGGATGTCTGGTGAAGAAGGGAGGGAATAGTGGGATGGGGGGAAAAAAAAAGTCTCCAGTTTAAAATCAGATAAAGCTATCCAAGAAGACTGGAGCTAATTCTCGCTGCTTATTCCTATTTCCCCTGTCAGGACAGGGCAAATCACTTAAGCCGCGTTTCTTCACAAATGCCCCCTCAGTGGTGTCTCTCATCTTCTGGATATCTGACTTCTAGATGTGGTCCATCTGATGGAAGTGATAAACTCTCCCACTGCAGCATTAACCAGACACAGCTCTGCTTTGAACATACATTATATAGTGCTAAGTACACTGAAAAAAAACCCCAGATTAGCAACATCACTAAACAGCTTCCAAAATTAATGAACGTTTTTATCTTAATCTCTCACTGCCTTAGTTCCTCAGCTGTAAAGTTGGTCTAATACCATCTCCTCACCTCCGCGTGGTAATGAAAATAAGTAAATTAATAATTCTGAAGCAATCAGATACTGTTGTGAGGAAAACCCATGGGGAAACTAATAATTCCGTCTTTAGAACTGGAGTTGAATAACGTACAGTAAACGAGGCACAGGCCACCCACTGAACAATGAGGAAAAAACAAAACACTGAATAGCTGCTGTTCAAGAAAGCCCCAGCCAGGCAGGCACAGAATGAAGCCGGCATCCTGTGCAAAGAATGAGGTGACAATGCGAGGATGTGGTTAAAGACTCATAGCTATGAGGCACAGGCACAAAGAGATTGAATTAAGATTGCTGACAACAGAAACTGCTAGCATTTCCTAACTCCCTACTGCCGGGTTTCGCAAATTTAATATTAGTTGTTTTTAAAGGAGGGGTGTGGGTGCATATATATCTATGTACATACACTGAATATATAAAATAATCCGCTCACAAGCTATAGCCAGACTTCACCCTGAATGAGAAATTGAATACTTGAGGCAAGGACACATCAATGAGGCTGGAGTGTGAAAAGAATCCTACAGATTTTTGGAAAGAAGGAACAAATGAGATTTGACAAGGTAGTACTAAGTGGGAAGTAGATAGTCACTGAGCATTTCCCCTTTCTAAAGCTGAAAGCATTAGCAATCTGGGTGCTGTAGAGAGTTAAAGTGGTCAAAACTGCCAAAAAGCTGAGGCAAGGCTCTGCGGGGGGAGCTTGACTGTAGGAGAGCAATGGGGAAGCGATAGGCAGGGAGGCGCTGGGGGGAGGCGGGGGGAAAGGATGGGAAAAGTCTGAATGAGAGCACTCTCCTTCTCCCACTACCTCTCCAGTCTGTTTTATTTCAACACTATAACAAGTTGCACCTCATGTAGTCTATGAACCAGCCTAAAATCACACGGGCAGGATTTTTGCTGCTATATTGGGCCTGGTGTGATGCCTGCCATCACTGCCACGTCTCCGTGTACCAGCCTCCCCCACTGACTAAGCAGTGCTTAAGATCAGCTTCTCTCAGCAGAGCTCAGGAACAGCTTTACCACAGCAGCCCCCAAATTTCTCAGCATGCTTGTTTTCCAGAGTTCCCCCTGCCCTGTTTGGCTGTCCCCTCTCCTGTATACAGCACTGCCCAATTTAGCACCAACTGCAAATTCATATAGGTTAGCTTCTCCCTGCAAAGATAAAGAAACTGAAAAGAGCACCAAGCTCTGTAATCCTGAACTGGATGCTCTTCATCCTGGAAATTAAGGAGTAAGGTGAATAATATCCATTAGCCTCTCTGTGGCACTTACGTCAGAGAGAGAACTGATGGGCTTTTTCTAGCAAAAAGCACATGTGAACCTTCATTTAGCCTACCCCGAGTCCACTTCTGTTACATTCATTGGGCTCCCTAAGGACCCATGTTTCCCTAAGGGAAAGGGAGAGAATCCCAAGAGAATTAGGGAGTGCTCCCTGCATGCTAAGTGTAAGCCTGGATACCACTTCCATTTGACGAGGGCTTTTCGAACACTGTGGGACAACTTAATTCCTTAACTCAAGTCATCTGAGTTCCAGGTATTTTCTGTTCTTCGTCTCTTACATCTACATCAGACAGAGCTTGGCCCTAATATTCAGATATACAAAAGCACAATTTGACCCTTGCCGAGGAGGGGGGGCAGGAAATAGCATTACATGTCCTGAATAGACAAATAATAAAAATCCAGCTAACTGTGAGCCTGCAGCTTCCACCATCACTTCAGATGAAAATACTCTACATAATACTGTCATCTGTGTGTGTAACACATCCCTGGTGTACACACTTGGAGGTGTTGAGTGATTTCCCTCTGTCTGTGTCTCTGTGTGCGTCAGCGCTGTGTGTGTGGTCAGGAGGTGACAGGTCATTCAACTCCCTTATCTTCTCACCCACTCTCTTTTTTGTGAACTCTGAGATTTTCCACATTTGGAGAGGAGGGAGAAAGTACACCTCATCACAGAATAACAAGCTGTCTGCAACTGCAAGCAGGGCCAGTGGTCTGGATACCAGTATGACCCTTCCAGAATTTGCAGTGAGCTCAGGAGGAGCAAGGAGATGAGAAGCATTGGATGCCTGTCTTCTAGGACAGGAGCTGTTAACACAGAGCTCTGCCTGTCCCACGAGATTTGAGCACTTGAGTCAAAGTCACTCTCCCCGATACCAGTTCAGCACAGGACTTTGAACCCAAGAAACTAGAAAGGAA